AGATATTTGTACACCCATGTTCATAGCGGTATTATTCACAGTAGCCAAAACATGGAAGCAACCCAAGTGTCCATCAACGGCTGAGTGGATGGACAAAATGTGGTATATACATACAATGGAGTATTATCCAGCCTTAAAAATAAAGGAAATTCTGGGACACCTAGGTGGCTCTGTCGGTTAAGTGTCTGCCTTCGGCTCAGATCATGATCCCAGGGTCCTGGGATCAAGTCCCGCATCGGGCTCCCTGCTCAGCAGGGAGTCTGCTTTCCCCCGGTTTGTGCTCTCTCTCTCTCTGACAAATAAATAAAATCTTTAAAAAAATAAATAAAGGAAATAAAGGAAATTCTGACATTGGTACAATATGGATGAACTTCGAGGATAGAATGGTAAATGAAATAAGCCAGGCACAAAAAAATACTGTAGGGTTCTACTTCCATGAAGATCTAGAATAGTGAAATTCATTGAGACAGAAAGTAGAGTGGTGGTTGCCAGGGGCTGGAGAGAGGGAGGCATGGGGAATTATTTAATGGGTATGGAGTTTCAGTTTTACAAGATGAAAAGAGTTCTGGCTATTAGTTGCACAATAATGTGAATGTACTTAATACTAGTGAACTGCATGTGTGCTTTAAAATGGTAAATTTTATGTAATGTGTATTTTACAATTGAAAACTTGACAAAAATTCCAGCTCCATCATTTAGGAGCACTGTGACTTGGCCAATTTGTCCCTCTGAGTCTCAGTTTCTGCATATGTAAAAGGGAGACAATAATACCTTCTAGCTCTTGTGGAGGCAGGCTCAAATGCTGTCTCATTCTAGTCTTCCTTTGCAGAATTTGGAATCTCAGGCTTCCCAGCCTTCCCCAGGCAGCTGAAAGACCCTTTCGGTGAATTTTAATTGAGTTGCCCTTGTACCTAATACCTGTAGATGCTCAATGAATACTTGTTGGCTGACTTGCTGACTGAATCCACTTGTGTAGACATGATCTAGAAGGAGGCATATGTGTAGGAAGCTATGTGTCTAGTACATAGTTAGCATCCCATAAATATTTATGGAACAGGTGAATGAACAAAGTGGATGACACGTGAATTATAAAACAATCTGCCTGTTCCAAAACATGAACAAGAGTATTTTTCTCATCTGGTAGCATAAATAGTTGCTTCAGAAAATAAACTGACTGGAAGCCCCGTTGACTGAGTCTCATCTTGGCATCTGTATTAGTTTACTATTGCTAGAAAATAACACATTTCTGCAAATACAGTGGTTTAAACAACACACATTTATTACCTTACAGTTCTATTGGTCAGACTTCTAACATGGGTCTCACTGGGCCAAAATCAAGGTGTCAGTAGGGCTGTGTTCATTACTGGAGGTTCTAGGAATGGATCTGCCTCCTTTGGATCATTTGGGTTATTGGCAAAATTCAATCCCTTATGTCTGTAGGACTGGGGTCCTGTTTCCTTTACATCTGTCACTGAGGCCCATTTCCAGCTTCTAGAGGTCACCCACATTCCTTGACTTGTTCCCACTTTCTCTGTCTTCAAAGTCCCCCAACACTTCCTCCCCCCCCATCTCTCTGACCCACAGAAAAAGTTCTCCACATTTAAGGACCCAAGTACTTAGATTGGGCTCACCTGCATCATCCAGGATATTCTCCCCACCTCAAGGTCCTTAACCTTAATTCCACTCACACATTCTCCTTTAAAGATGGAAAGATACTGGGGATTAGGGCATGGATATCTTTGGGGGTTATTATTTTGCCTACCATGACATCATGAGCATGAATTGGTTTCTCAGAGCAGGCAGTTGTCTCCCAGCAAAGAGCTCTGGGAAATAAGCCCTCCAAAATGGAAATTTGGACGAAGAGAAGAGAGATGAAGCACTGGCAGTAAATATGTTGGCAGGCCTGAGAATAATGCTACAGAGAGAGTTTCCCAGCTTTACGGTATGTAGGTCGCTGAAGGAAGAGAGAAATACTCACAAATGCCAAGAAAGTTCAACTTTGTGTGTCTTATGATTTCCCTTTAGATCAGTTCTGCCGAGGATAAAGCAACCTTCCCAGGCCACAAATAATCATAATAGTTTCCCCCAAGATTTTCATGAGTTGATTGGTGGGTTGTTATCCGCCCATTGCTGCCAATAATTGAAGGATGCTGTCTTTGCTGGCTCGGTGAAACTTCCAGATGTTATCAGAGCAAACGATACTTGAGGTTTTCCCTGCACCTGGCATCAGCTCCTAGAATGGGTCCGGCCACTAATCAGGGGCCTGGGGGTGTCCAACATGGACCTTTAGGTCACTTCCAGAGCCTCCTCTCTAGACTGTCTACATCACACTGCTAAGATGCCATCTATTTTAAATCTTTTTCTTTGTCCCTTTGCCATCTTCTTTCCCCCCTTCTCTCTCTCTCTTGCCCTTTCTTCCCTCCTCTCTCGTTTTCTGATGTGTTAGGATCAAAATAATGAAAAAGAATAGAAACAGTTTCAACTCAGGAAATAACGCAAAGGCAGAAGAAAGACCGTACAAAGTTCACTGCTTGAATCTTTCCCGTTCTGTTAAAAGGTGTTTACAGCAGAGGAATCTTGTCTGGGGAAATGAGGCAGTAAGAGGTTGCGATAACTCTGCAGGGTGGGGCGGACGGGGGAGAAGATATCACAGAAACTAGGGGGAGAAGGAGAAAACGGCTGCTTCTGAGGACGCAGGGATTGCAGGTTTTGAGTGAACTACAGTTGTAATTGTCCCGTAGGTCATCCCTACAGAGGGATGACAGGGCGACTCTTGACCACAGTCTGCCCTTAGAGAAGGGGTGTGTTGGGCTTGGACTTTCTAGATGCTACCACAGTGGGAAGCCAGAGTCTCATCGTGTGCTAATAGAGGTCACAGCTCTTGGGAACAGGGCTTGCAACACAGAGGAAACTCCCCCTCCCTGCCCGTGACCACACCTTCGCCTGTCTCACACCCAGGCTGCCCAGTCAGACAGCTCTGGGGATGACACTGGCGTGGGATCATCAAGAAGACTGCTTGGGAAACCCAATAGGGAAAAGAGGTAGTTGAGCCAAGAAAAGTCACCAGACCTTTCTTTTGGCTTGAGGCATTGTATATATTTGAATAATAAGAACCAAATTAATATTACAATTCTAATGTGACTGTTGAGCCACGGTGATGTGCTAATCATGGTTTTACAAGGATTATCTTTAGTCATTAGGCTAACTCTGCAAGGTAGGCGTTATCTACATCCTATAGATGTTGAAATTGAGAATGAGAGAGGTTAGGAGAGTTGCCAAAGGCCACAGTATGTATATACACGTATATACACGTATATACATATAATTTTTTTTATGTTCAATTGCTTTTAAAGCCCATTTCCTCTTTCCCTGACAGCTTCTCTCCCTCCTCCCCTCCTTCTCTTTCTCCCTCTGTCCCTTCCTTCCTCCTATTTTCTCTCTGCCATGTTTCCTTCGTGCCTTTTTCTTTTGAGAAAGAGAGAGAGAGAGTGGAGGAGGGGCAGAGGGAGAGAGAACCTTGAGCACGCTCCACGCCCGGCACAAAGCACGACGCAGGACTCAGTCCCACGACCCCAAGATCATGACCTGAGCTGAAATCAAGAGTCAGATGCTCAACCGATTGAGCCACCCCAGTGCCCCTCATGTCTTTTTAAAAAGGAAATAAATTGTCACATACTCAGTGGGAACCCCTTTGTGTCCCTCCCCTGTCTCATTCCCCTCCCTCCCTCTATGGAGGCAGCCAATCTCTCAATTGAGGTTATGGAGTGGGAGTGGTCCTCCCACCCTTCATTGTGTGTCCACGGCCATAAATGATCTACAGCCTGCTGTGTTTTAAGCATTTACATATATAAAAAATGGCTAAAAGTATTCATTTACAGAGAAAAAAATACAAACAGCTGTTAACAACAAGAAAAAACTCACTGTCTCATTCATCAAAAGGGCAATACAAATTAAGATCACCTTGAGACACTATTTTTTTTAACTTGTGAAACGGGCCAAGACTGACGATTTGTTAGCGCAGTGTGTAGAAGAGGCCGTGGGGAAAGAGACACTGCAACTTTGATTGTGAGTGACTGAATCCGTGTTTTCTCTGGAGAGGGCAATCTGACAATCTCCATCAAAAATGCAAACGCACAAAATTACAAAAGAAATTTCATTCTGGAAATCTGTCCATAGATATATTTGTACATTTGCAAAAGCACATGTGTTTAAGGTTATTCCTTAAAGTATTGCTTGTAATAAAAAAGACCAGAAATAATCCACACATCCATCAATAGGGGCTGGTTGAATAAATTGTGATGCACCCCAATTAGAAAAAAGAATGACGATACTCTCTGTGCTTACATGGAAATTCCTCCAATACATATTGAATTAAAAAAAAAAAAAAGCAAAGCACAGAAGAATATGTATAGTCTGCTACCTTTGTGTGGCAAAGGATAAAATAAGCTTATCTATCCATGTTTGTATGTACATAAGAAACTCTGAAAGTTTACATATAAAAATGAGTAACAGTTTTGTATGTGGGAAGAAAGAAGTGGGATGAAGGAAGAAAGGAAGACTTTTTTTTTTTTTAAAGATTTTATTTATTTATTTGACAGAGAGAGACAGCGAGAGAGGGAACACAAGCAGGGGGAGTGGGAGAGGGAGAAGCAGGCTTCCCACAGAGCAGGGAGCCTGATGTGGGGCTCAATGCGGGGCTCGATCCCAGGACCCTGGGATCATGACCTGAGCCGAAGGCAGCTGCTTAACGACTGAGCCACCCAAGTGCCCCAGAAAGGAAGACTTTTAAATGTATTTTAAAATTATTTTTTTGAGCAATGTGGATGGACAATGTTACCTATCCCCAAAATTAAATTAAAAAACTAGGGTGGTATCATACGGTACAAGTCATTCTGCAACTAACCTTTCCCAGTCTGGTTTATGTTTTTGAGGCCTCCCCATGCAGTCATGGCCTTGATCTTTCCATTAATTATGCTGTCTTGAACTGTGGAATCTTACAGCTGGAAATGCTCCTGGAGGTCACCCAGCTCCCTACGTTCATATTACGGGAAGAAAAATGCAGGTGCAGAAATGACAAGTGGCTCACCCAGGCTGGCCCAGCAGGTCAATGCCAGAATTGGGGTTGGCCTCAGATCTTCCAAACCCGGCTAGGAGTCTGGGGCTGCCTTACGCCCTTCACCTCCCAGTGCCAAAATCACCCCCCAATTCCTACTAAGAGGTTGGTAATATTATGTGCTATCTTTTCCTAGGGATGTTTGCCTTTTCAAAACAAAACAAAGATAAACAACAACATCAAACACAAAATGGGGTGATCACCATTTCATGCAATAGGGCATATTTGGGGTGAGTGAAATGATGGGGGTGGGGGTACACTAACCGTGGTGGTGTCGTTAGCCAGGGTGGGAGTAAACTTTATAGTATCTCCTTTCCCCTTTCTTCCTCCTAAATGAATAAGCAAATAAATAAAAGAAAAAAAAAGAGAAAGAAAAACAAAACAACTAGGTCATTGCCCCTTCACTGGTATGGTTGGTTCTGCCTTCAGCTCAGGAAGGAACCAATTTGTGCTTTGAATTGGCAATAGCATTACTGCAAATATTATTAATGTAACAAAATGTTATTATTTTTTGTTGCCATAGCTACAGTCAAGGCACCAATAAATCCCCTACAGTGAAAGAGACCTCTGCAGGTCAAGTCCTCTCGTCCTGCCATCAGGCAGGACCCCATTAACCATCCTGACAGGGGAGGACCTTTTAGGATTTGATAAATGACCCCATTCCTTCTGGAAGTTCTTATAGTAAAGCACTAGGTCAGAAATGATAAGGATACAAAAACTCATGTGCCTTCACTTCAAATCTAATATCATAGATGTATTTCCCCCCAAATTTTATACTAAAATATTTTAACAGTGGAGGAGTAGCAACAATGTGAAGAGGCCCTTCCGAAGCTTGGAATTTCGGTCACATTCAGGATTTTCAGTTACAACTTCATGCAAATGCTGGATTCCATTTTGTAATATAAATACATTTGCTTTAATGTCCACATTTATATTCCATTAACATTTCCCCTCCCCCCATTCTTCTAGTAAAATTGATGCTGCAAGAAGATATACCATATTCATCTGTGGCTTTGGATATCTTCTGTCTGGATCTCAGCCTGGATCTTTGTACACAAAGATCAAGTTTGAGAAGCATGGATTGGCCAGGAGGTGGCAAACTTATTTTGTAAAGGGCCAGACAGTAAAATGTGGGCCATACTGTTTTTGTTAATAACTATTCAACCCTGCCATTGTAGTCTTGCAGTAAAAGCAGCCATAAACAAAAAGTAAATGAGTTGGCATGGTTGTATTCCAATAAAACTTTATAAAAACAAACAGATTTGGCCCATGGCCTGAATCTGGCCCTTAGGTTATAGTTTACAAACTCCTCGATGAGATAGTACATGCCCAAGGGTTTATAAAAAGGAAATATTTTCTTTCTTTTTTTTCTTTTAAAACAGCCATTTTACTCTATTTTTTTTTAAGATTTTATTTATTTATTTGAGATAGAGAGAGAGAGTGAGAGAGAGAGCACAAGCAGCAGAGGGAGAGGGAGAAGCAGGCTCTCCACTGAGCAGGGAGCCCGATGCGGGGCTCGATCCCAGGACCCTGAGATCATGACCTGAGCCGAAGGCAGACGCTTAATTAACTGAGCCACCCAGGCGCCCCCAAAAGGAAATATTTTCAGCTGGAACCCATAAGAAAGAAGAATGGGAATAGAAATTCCATTGATCATTGAAGGCTGTATGTCATTTCAAAGAGCAGAGAAGAAATGTAGTATTATTAGTAGAGGACCAGTGTAATCAAAGGCAAAAACTTTTGAGTTTATGTGTAGGTGGGGGACAGGGAGGAAAGTAATTAGATCAGTTTGGCTGGAGGAAGGAACTCATGTCCAAGAGAAGCATGTTAAACCATCAGGCCTTGGAAGGGACCTCTCTGATCATTTTCTTCTCATTTTACAGATGGGGAAATTGAGGTCAACAGAGATCTCAGATCTGGAATGAAGCTGAGGAGTGGAACACTTTGAATACTAAGCTAAAGGATCTCAGCTCTGCAGTGCAGGCCAGTGATGTTTCAACATTTCCTCTTTGAATGCTTATTCATTAACCCACTTCCTACATGCCACGTGACCAGATGTCCCAAGAGGAGTTCCTTTGGGATGAAGCTAACTCTCATCCTCTGTATACCATTGCAAAATAGTGCTATTGAGGTGGTGACAAGAAGCATGTGGAGCAATCACCTAGATGAGTGCCAAGGATCCAGAAGCTTTAGCTTCTCATCCTGCTGTCAACATGTTCTGCTAGCCCAGACTGAATCCTGAGCTCTCCTGCAGTTAAACAAGAAGCATTCATCCTCAGAACCAGTGGCTCTGCTCCCTCCTCCCACCACGAACTTGAAGCAATAAATGACCAGAGGATACTGGAATGCAAGGTGCCACAACCTTGCATGACCCAGATATTCATTCACTGTTTTTTCCTCCTAATTGCTGAGCACTTCCCATGCACTGGGTGCTGAGGATAAACAGTGAACGAGGTAAGTAGGCAGGCTTCTGCCCTCATGGGGCTCACATTGTAGTGGTGTGAGGAGGGGAACATAATGCACAAGTCAACAACAACAACAACAACAAACCAAGCCCCGGAATTTCAGATGGAGATTAAGTGCTTCCAGCAAAATTGAACAGGGTATCATGATAGTGGCTGGAGGGGCTCTTTTGAAGAGGTCTCTGAGGAGAGACCTGAAGGTTGAGAAGAGCAAGCACAGAGCACTCCAGGCAGGAGGAAGAGTAGGGGAAAGACCCAGAGTGTGCTGTGTTGGAGGAATAGAGAGAAGGCGTGTCTGCAGGGTGATGGGGCGGAGGGGAATGGGTAGGAGACAAGGAACAAGAGACAGACAACATAAAGAAACTGATGAATTTTAATCAGGTTGATCACGTGACTCAACTTGGCCTCTATTTTTTAAATTTAATTTAGTTTATATTCAGTTAATTAACATATAGAGGATTATTAGTTTCAGAGGTAGAGTATAGTGATTCATCAGTTGCATACAACACCCAGTGCTCATCACATCACATGCCCTCCAGTTACCCCATCCTCCCACAGCCCCCTCCACTCCAGCAACCCTCAGTTTGTTTCCTATGGTTAAGAGTCTCTTATGGTTTGTCTCTCTCCCTGATTTCATCTTGTTTTATTTTTCCCTCCCTTCCCCTATGATCCTCTGTTTTGTTTCTTAAATTCCACATATGAGTGAAGTCATATGGTATTTGTCTTTCTCTGACTGACTTATTTCACTTAGCATAATACCTTCTAGATCCATCCACGTCATTGCAAATGGCAAGATTTCATTTTTTGATGGCTGCGTAATATTCCATTGTGTGTGTGTGTGTGTGTGTGTGTGTATACACATACACCCCACATCTTCTTTATCCACTCATCTGTCGATGGACATCTGGGCTTTTTCCATAGTCTGGCTATTGTGGACATTGCTGCTCTAAACACTGGGTGGTCTCTATTTTTTTTAATGAATTCTCTTAAATCTGTGTTTGTGGGAAACAACATCTGCCCTTGTTTTTAAGAGATAACTTCTGAGTGTATCATTCTTGGCTGTTTCCTGGCTTCCCACAGTTACAGTTGTCATCTCAGCTCTAGTTGTCCGTCTCTTGTAGGTGACCTCTGTTTTCTCTGCTGCTTTTATAATATCGTGTCTTTGCTTTAGTGCTCCTCAGTTTATTGATAAATGTGCTTAGGTGTGGATTTAATCTTTTTTATGCTATTTGAGATTTTGTGGGGATCCTCAGTCTGAAGATTAGTTTCTTTCACCAGTTTTGGAAAATACTCTGCTATTAACTCACTGAAAATTTCCTCTCCTCCCTTCTTTCTCTTCTGTCCCTCCAGTGCTTTAAAAAGAAGTATGTTAGTCCTTCTAAGCCTATCATCCATTATTCGTGACGTCCCTTTCCTATTTTCCATCTCTTAGTTTCTCTGTGCTCAAGCCAGAGTAATTTCAGATCTACAGCCAAGTTTGTCAGTTCTCTTCAGCTACACTTAACATTCTGGTTTCTCTTTTTAAAAGAGTATCCAGGCTGTTACCTGGAGAATGGCTTGGAGGGATTAAGAGAAGTGAGATAATCGACAAGGCTAGACCAGGGGGCAATCATGGTGGCCCCGTCAGACACTAGCAGTGGAGACTGAGAGCAGTGACTAGATTCAGGGCATATTTTGGAAGCAGAAGAACCAGGACCCATTGAATGATGGGACGTAGGGGTGTGGATGGTGCTGGTGATGGTGCTGGTGAAGTGAAAAGCAGAAATCAAGGATAACTCCTCGGGTTAGTGCTTGAACAGTCAGTAAATGGTGGTGTCTTTTTGTTGTTGTTAAGATTGGAAGGCTGCAGGGGCGCCTGGGTGGCTCAGTTGGTTAAGCCACTGCCTTCGGCTCAGGTCATGATCCTGGAGCCCCGGGATCGAGTCCCGCATCGGGCTCCCTGCTCAGCGGGGAGCCTGCTTCGCCCTCTGACCCTCCCCCCTCTCATGCTCTCTCTCTCTATCTCATTCTGTCTCTCAAAATAAATAAATAAAATCTTTAAAAAAAAAAAAAGATTGGAAGGCTGGGAGATGCTCAGTGTGGGCAGGGAGTGTGGTCAGTCCAGACGTCCATGCTGGGTGTGCTGAGTTGTGAGGCCTCCAGGTAGGGATATGCAGGTGGCTGGAGGGACATTTTTTCTGTGTCTCTAGTTAGAAGGTTAGCATTCTCTCTAACACCTAAATAATAATCATCTAAGACTTGATTTGCTTGACCACACATTTTATGTCTCCTTCCTGGAATTTCTGGGACTCTGTAAAGAAGATCTCCTGATGCCATGGATCCATCCTTGTTTCTGCATTTCACCTCCACCAGATCACTCTTCCTATCTCTGCTCAACTCTGTGATACCACATGACTTCTGTGCCCGAGGCTGGACATGTTTAAGGGACCTGACACATACTGTCAGATAGCTCTTCCCAGAGATTGGGTCACTTATATTTCCATCAGCAGAAAAGGCATGTGCATTTCCCCACATTCCCACTAACACCGTATTTGCTAATTTCAATTTATATCGCAAAGATAGCTTTTAAACAGGACAGTATCTCTACAAATTGCAACATCCCAAATCATTCAAGCTGTCATAATCACACATAATTATGCAGGAAATTTGGGGTGCATGCATGGCTAAGAAGTCCCACTCCATACCAAGTTCTGCCATTGTGCTGCCTCTTTTAACCCCCCATAGCATCCTGATGTGGGACGTGTTATCATCCCTCATTTTCTTTTCTTTCTTTCTTTTTTTTTTTTTTAAGTTTTAGTCATTTATTCGAGAGAGAGATCAAGTGAGAGAGAGAGAGAGAGAAAGGGAGAGAACATGAGCAGGGGGAGTGGCAAGCAGAGGAAGAGGGAGAAGCAGGCTCCCCACTGAGCAAGGAGCTCAATGCGGGACTCAATCCCAGGACCCCGGGATCATGACCTGAGCCAAAGGCAGACGCTTAACCGACTGAGCCACCCAGGTATCCCATATTTTTTAATATATTTTAATGGGCATCACATCACAGGTACAGTAAAGTTATCCATGATCAACTATATAATTTGAGAGAGAAGAGAGGAGGAAATGAAAAAATTTTAGGGGATGCCCTAAAGTAAACATCAGAGGGGAACAAGGGCGGGTATCCACTGTTCCCCGGGGCCTCTCGTTGTGTGAGCATCTCACCATACAGGCTGTGGGTCTAGGTTTGAAGAGATGAATTTGGGGTTCAACATGAAGCCTCATTGAAACCAGCTGCTTCAGCTGATGGTCACACGAGGAGTCAGGGATCCACCGAACACTTAGGGAAACACTGACTGATTGAACTTACTGAGAAATGTGCGTCTCCCATATGGTATCATGCTAAGGGGCTTCTGGGGCATTTTGACTTTTGACATTTCTACCCAGAGCACTAATTTGACAAGCTAACCCCTGTGTGAGATGCCACTCCACTGTTTGTAGCTGAGTCACCCTGTACTTTGTGGTTTAAATCAAAGTGACTTAAGCTCTTTATCCTATTTTCTTTACCCTGTGTCCTCTTTGCTGGGAAGTCTGGCATCCTCCCCCAGACTCCTGCCATCTCTGAAGCTGACACTCTTGTGGTTGCTGCCAGCTCTGGGTTTCTGATCGGAGGAGCTGGGTTCACTCCTTCCACGAAAGGGCCATACACTACCCTGTCCTCTGCATGGAGTATAGCATGGGACTTGACCTCTGCTTTTCGGTTTTCACCAGGCCCTTCCCCCGAGGAGTGTGTGCTTGATAGACTTAAATCAAGCTGTGCAGATTTGGGAGGGATTGTTAAAATTCATAATAACACCAACAGATTAAAATTATTTTTCCTTTCAGTTTCTGAGCCAGGGGCCAGCTGAGTATCTGATGCTGTTGGAGCCTGAGAAGGAGGCAGGAGATAGGCGCCTGTAGCCTCTCAGGTGTGAGAGGATGTGTATGTCCCCCCTGGGCGGAGGGAACTCCCTGGGAAGCGGGACTCTAGCTGCTCTGCCATTATCCCCCAGTGGGCTCTGAGTGGATGAGATGATTCTAGTAGAAGTGGAGTATGGGTGGACTGCCTCTGGTTGGGGAGAGAAGGGAGGGAGGCAGCTGGAGCCCAAGCTGGTGGGACATAGGTGCTCATGCAGGGGGTGGCCCCACAATACTCCACAACGAAACCAGCACAAGTGCCCCCATGAGAGGCAGCCACACAGAGGGCGCCGAGGGCCAGTCCATGTCATCCAGGGAAGCAGCAACCAATGTAATAAAGAGGATCAGTCCCTCACCTTGGGCAGCTCAGTAAGGAGACACCTCTGCCCTTCCATCCTTCTGTCCTGCCCCAACACCAGAGGACATGTGTGGAGGAGATGGGGTGGTGAGAACAGATCCTACTTCCCTCCCCGCCAAGCTCCCTAGAGATGCAGGTCCAGTGTTTTATGTGTGTGTTTGGGGTTGGGGGTGGAGGACGGTGGGAAGAAGAGAGTCATTGCTTGAAAATAAGTTTAAAGTTTTGAAATCCGTGGGACTGAGTCCTACTGGAACCAAAATGTGAATGAATGATATTGGACTAAGATGACGTTAAGCATTGCTAAGGAGAGTTTGAGGGTACACAGTGGCACTTTTGTGTTTGAAACCCTGTTCCTTAATAAACTGGATTCCATTGTAGTTATTGGGTATCAGTCTTTTAAAGACTCGATTTTCCTAGCCAGTATGCCTTTCCCCAGCTCCTTGCATCTGCCTACTTCACAAGATGACTTTTTCCAGACCTGAGGGGTGCAACCTCAATACACTGGCCATCAAAAGTGACAATCCAGGGGAGAAAGGGGGTGTCCCCAGAAAACCTTGCAACCTCAGTAGTTTGTGTGGAAGTAAGCAAGAGGGTGTAATAACCCTCCACTTTCCTTTTGGCTACAATTATGAAGCTCATTGAATGCATTCCACAACAGTATCTCAATTTACAGATGAACTAATTGAGGGTTGGAGGAATTAAACAGTGGAAGTTCATACAGCTGGTAAACCACACAGCTTAAGATTGGAGCCCAGACCAGTTCAATTCCAGACTCTATCACTCCAGTGGCCGTGGTACACGTTCAGTCTTTTAGGATCAGTTACCTGCTCTATCAACTCCATTACATGGTTTACTAAGCAAGGTAGCCAAGACCTCAGCCTATGGGCTTTGGGATCAGGAGGGCTCGTGTTTGAATCTTGACTCCATCATTAATCAGTTGTGTGACTTTGGAAACTCAGCCTCCTTCAGTCCACTCAGAAGGAGCGTAGGCTGGGGTGCCTGGGTGGTTCAGTCGGTTAAGCGTTTTACTCTTGATTTCGGCTCAGGTCATGATCTCGGGGTCATGGGATCGAACCCCGAGTTGGGCTCTGTGCTGGGCGTGGAGCCTGATCAAGATTCTCTCTCCCTCTGCCCCTCTCCACCTTTAAAACAACAACAACAAAAAAGGAGAGTAGGCTGTGAGGAGAAGTCCAATGAAGTATGTGCTAAGCATTTTATTTTATTGTTGTTACTGTTAATTTTTTAATTATTAAATTAAAAAATTTAATTAAAATTTTTGTATTATAATTTGTTATTTTGTTAATTTTGTATTCTATTTTGTTAATTTGTTAAATTACTGTTAATTTTTTTTACAGGTATAATTCTTTAGCCATGAGAAAGCAGTGACGGAGAACAGACAACAATGATCAGATCAGTAACTAACATTTACTGAGTGCCTGGGATGGAGTAGACACTGTGCTATCTGCTCTCCATGTACTAAATTAATTCTCCTAACAATCAGTGAAGGCTGTGCAATTAACCTCAGTGTCCAAAGAAGAAGCACATCCAGCCACAAGTGAGGAGCCAGGATTTGAACCTAGGTGGCTGGACTTGGAAGCTTGCGCTCACCACTAGGAGGTAAGCTTGCATGGGCCTTCTTGGGATGTTGGAAGCAGATGGTGTTGCTTAGGGAGGGTGAGTGGGAGGCTTTGTTCCTGGGGTCAGCATGTGGGCTTTGGCAAGAGGGCAAGATAAGATGACCATGGAAGGGGAAATTGGGTGTTTGAAACAGCTGTCACCTGTGGGATGATGTCTGAGACTCAATTCTAAAGGTGAATCACACTGTCAGAGCTTCTATGTCCTTAGAGATGGTTTAGTCTCATGGTCTTTTAAACTGTGTCCCATGGGCCCTTAGGATCCTCCCAGGGCGGGTGGGTGGAGGTAGTGGATAGAGGCTCATCAGATGGGTCTTTAAGACCCTCTTGTTTGCTTCAACCAGGGCAATTCCACTTTGCTTTTCACCTTTTTGGGGGGCGGGGGGAAGTACAACTTACATACAGTAAAGCACATGAATCTCAATGAGAAAGCTTGATGAGTTTTTATATATATATACATCTAGGTAGTCACTACCCAGATCAACATAAAGAATATTCTCTGCACCCTGGGGCCGAGTTCCCTGCTGTCCCCTTCTAGTCGGTGCCCTCACCAATAATATCACCAGATAACCACCTTCTGCTCTTACCTGTTTTGAACTTCATATAAATAGAATTATGAAGTTTATCCTCTTTTTGTGTCTGGCTTCTTTCACTCAAAATTATATCTGAGACATTCATCCATGTTTTGGAATGTAGCAATGGTCTTCTTTTCTTCAATGCCATTGCCTGACAATATCACAATTTATTGATTTTTTTTTGTACTATTGATGGAAAACATTTAAGTTGTTTCCAGGTTTTGGTAGTATGAACATAGCTGTTACGAACATTTTTGTACAAGCCTTGTGATGGACAAATGAACACATTTCTGTTAAGTGTATACCCAGGGGTGGACCATAGGATAGCTGTTGTTTAGCTCTGGTGGGTAGACCAGCTGGTTTGGGGGTTTTTTTTAAGTTTTTTTTTTTATTTGACAGAGAGAGACACAGTAGAGCGGGAACACAAGCAGGCGGAGTGGGAGAGGGAGAAGCAGGCTTCCTGCAGAGCAGGGAACCCAATGTGGGGCTTGATCCCAACGACTGAGCCACCCAGGCGCCCCGAAACAGCTGTTTTTTGAATAGATGTTTCATAGAGTAGGGATCGTAAGATTTACTTGGGGAAAGGGTGTGGTTGCTTAAAAAAATTTTTTTTAAAGGAAAGAGTTTAGCCCCCACTAGTGCAATCCTCTGCATTTGCAGATGGTCAGACCGAGACTCAGAGAGACTCAAACGGCAACAAAGCCATGTCTGGAACTCAGTTACGGGACTAGAAGTTTCTTATAAACTTCTGAGCTCTCTGAAATGTGTGCTCTATATCACTCAACCTGGCTGCTGGTCGGATGTGGAAAGGATACCACAATCTGAGTCAGAAGCCCGGGGTTCAAGCCCCGCTACTGTCACTAACCTGTGTGTGATGCGGGGCAAGGTACCTGCCGCTGTGGGCCTCAGTCTCCTTACCTGGGAAGTGGATGCTTCTGCTTCCCAGCCTTGCTGGATTCAAGGAGACCATGATGGAGAGACACGCTGTAGGTTGAGAAGCACTTAACATCATTGTTATTATTACCATCAAAATATATTCTAAGGGGATGCTTTGGTAAGCATGCTGTTTTCTTATAATATTCATGCTTATGATAATTCACTACTTCACATTTTTTTTCCCAGCCTGACTTAATAGTATTTAATGAGAGCTTTCCCCCCTTCATTAAAAGCTAGTGTGGCAGATAGTATTTTCCAAAGATGGCCACACCAACATATAACTCATCCTACATGCTTCTCTCTAATGGAACTTTTTTTTTTTTGCAAGTGGAAGGGAGGGAGAGAGAGAATCTTAAGCAGACCCCACACTCAGCATGGAGCCTGTTGTGGGACTTGATCTTATGACCCTGAGATCATCTCTTGAGCTAAAATCAAGAGTCAGACGCTTAACCAACTAAGCCACCCAGGTGCCCCTGATGGCACATTTTTGTAACGTGACACATCTTTGTTGAAGGAGACAGGGTCAATGTTTTCTCCCCTCAAACCTGGACGGACCTTTGTGATTACCTCAATTAATGGAACTTAGCAGAAATGAGGATATGTGAGGACAAATCCAGAGTTAGAAAGGAAAAGTCTAAATGTTGGGGTGTTTCCTAGAGAGAACAGAAACAACCCCCGCAGGAGACACTGTATTGGCTTTTACTTATCTGATTTCACACTGTGATCCTTTTCATTTCTCATTTCTTCATTTAAACTTTCCGCCAAAAGAAAAAATATATATCTATGAAACACGCCCTTGAGTTAAACCTGAGTGAAGAATCGAGTTCTGTGTAGCTTCCTACTCAGGCAGAATTGTAGTCACTTGCAAGGAGCCCGATGACTCCAGGAGAAAGGCCTGGAGGCCACATCCTCCTCTTGTGGCTCAGGGGGGATAAGAGTGGGGGTGAGGGCACGCCTGGGATGACGAGAGCTCCCCTTAGCCTGAGAGGCAGACGGACTCCTGGCCCTCTGGACCCTAAAGGCAGAATGACACCCACAAGTGTGGGTGGCTAGGAGTCACACAGAAAGGACTCTCCCCTGAGAGTTGCAGGTTTCTGTGAAGGATGGTCCTTCTGTCAAGAAGGTCTTTATTACAAATTTAAAAATAATAAATTCTTCACACCTGTAAATTGCTTCACATATTAGAAAGCAGGTTCACCTGTGTTACTTATGTGATTTTTTTCCAGTGGCCCTAAAAAGAAGCCAGAGATTGTAACCCCACCACCACCACCACCATCATCTTAATTTTAAATTTAAAGGAACTGAAAGGGGAAGGGCTTTGCCCAAGATCACGCAGCTAGCAAGCAGAAATGCCAGTGAAAGAATCAGGGCTTCTGGCTTCTGGGAAATTTTCCTTTACTGAATCATAGACTTGATCCATGGGGGAGTAGGGGTTTGGGGCCCTATAGTGGATAAATGGCAGAGCTCACTTGAGGGAGGGGTATACCCTTCACCCCTTTAGATTGCCCCAGAGCTCTTTTCTGCATGTATGGTTTCAGCTCTGTGTGGAATAAAATGCCCCTGTGTCCCTTCATAACTTTGTCAGAAAAGCACCACCCTATCAGTCATTGACATTTTAGTGAGAATTTAAGGACTTACATTTTCTCTAAGAGAGATATTTTCATTTTACATCTTATCTCATTGTGACACTTGACTCTTGGAAAGGAATTTCCAGCATCAGTGAGCAGATAGAAGAGGCATTTTCTCAGGGGCAGGGTGGAAGCGAGTGGGACAGATATTATAGACTCCTCCCACCCCATGGTATCAGCAGATGCTAACTACTCGAATCATAAAATTTCAGTTATCAAATATCTGAGTGCTCGGTGCTGAGGTTCCAATGACGAATAGAGAGTGATCCATGGAAAGAGTCACAGTCTGGTGGGGGAGACAGGCAAGGACGCAAGTAACGGTAATAGGATCTCCTAAGTGCTATTATAGACCTAAGTATAGAAGGTGCTATCAGAGCATGAAGGAAACTGGTTAAGAATGGGGATATAGCAGAGCTTTCTAGAGGAGGTGACATCAGTTGGGCTGAGTCTGAGACAACGGAACCGCCATTCATTGAATATTTTAGTCCAGGTTCTATAGAAGAGCTAGTCTGATAGTAGGGAGGGGTGCAACCCCAGGGAACCAGGCATGAAGGGAAGAGTAGCGAGCAGCGCTGGGTGGAGAGGAATACGATGGAGGGTGTTATCACACAGGAGATCTGTAGCAAGCCCGGCTGATGCAGCATCTGGCTGGACAGCCTCAGAGAGGCCTCACGGAGCTCAGTCCCCCCAGTGTCCTGTGGGGGGCCAAGGGATGGAGAGCAAATGTGCTTTCTGGTTCTCTCCCATTTCGGATCCCTCAGTGGCCCAGGCTCACTGCAGGCAGAGGTAATGCTCATGCACTTCTACTTGGAGTCACGTGCCCTGTGTGGGCAATATATCTGAGTCGGAGCTGGGAGTGTTGAGAGGGACAGGAAGTCACTGGTGGCAACCTGAGGGGCGAGCACTGTGTCCCTGGTGCCGGCAAAAGAGATCTGAGGTGGCCTCGAGGGGGAGTATCTGGGAGCTAGCAGGGCATTTATACACACTGGATGATCTACTCCTCACAATAACCCCATGTGGGGTTGCATGGTGTCCCCCAAAAGATGTGTTGAAGTCCTACCCCCTATTATCTGTGAAGGGGACCCTATTTGGAAATAAGGTCTTAACAGATGTCATCAAACTGTAAATGAAGAAGAAGTCACACTGGAGTAGGGTGGCCCTTAATCCAGTATGATCGTTGTCCTTAGAGGAAGAGAAGAGGCACAGAGACAGGCGAACGCTGAGAAAAGAAGCCCCGTGCAGCCCGACATGCAGGGAGATGCCGTGTGCCAAGGCAGAGGTTACGGGGACGCATCCAGGAGCCAAGGAGCACCAGGACCGCCGACAACACCAGGAGCAGGGAAAAAGGCAAGGGACAGATTCTCCCCTACAGACTCTAGAGAGAATGCAGTCCCAAAGACTCCTTGATCTTGGACTTCTGGCCTCCAGAAGAATAATGCGAGAGAATAAATTTCTGCTGCTTTAAGCCACCCGGTTCGTGGTGCTTTGTTGCAGGAGCCCTAGGTGGAGGGGCGAGCGGAGCAGACACGTGCAGGTAACTGTGAGCTAGAACTCTCACGTTCTGAGCACTCTTCATCTATCCACCCATTTAATCCTCCCAAGACCCACTGAGGAGCAACCCTTATGTTCCCATTTTCCAAATAAGGACCCGAGGCGCAGAGAACCTAAGCAACTCGCTGAATGTCACGGTCAATGGAATTGAAACCCTGGCACCCCCAAGCCCGTGGTATTTGCACTCACCCTGCGTGCACTCACCCAAGGCTGACACAGTGCCTCTCCTCTGTGCTATAGACAGCAGGGTGCAGAGATGAGCACGCTTTGGTTCCCCCAACCCCACAGCCCTCACTGTCTTTGTGATCCAATCTAGCTGACATCCCCTCCCTCCCCCGCCCCAACACACACACTGGAGAACTGCTCTGAAACGTGGCTGGTCTGAGCTCACGTGTGCTGTGTGTGTCAAATACACACCGGGTTTACAACACCCAATACAAAAAGAATGCAAAATGTATCATGAATAATTTTTAATATTGACTGCATGTTGAAGTGACCATGTTTTGAATATACAGGATTAGGCTAAATAAAATATATCATGAACGTTTATTGCACCTTTTATTTTTTATTTATTTTATTTTATTATGTTATGTTAATCACCATACATTACATCATTAGTTTTTGAGGTGGTGTTCCATGATGCATTATGAGTTTGTGTATAACACCCAGTGTATTGCACCTTTTAAAAGAAGTTTATTGCACCAGAAAACTGAGGCCGGGTAGGCACTCACGTGATACTTCTGTTGGGTGGCGCTGCTCTAGGACGTGAAGTCCTTGAAGGCAGGGGCCGTCTCTGTCCTGTCCACCGTGGGTCCCAGGAGAAGAGCCGGGCCTGCACACAATGGTCCCTCAATACGCAGTTGTTGGATAATTGCGCGAATGACCAAATCCACCCACCCTGGCGTCTGCTCATCTGTTCCCCGTACACACAAGGTCCAGACCGGACTTTCACCTTGCTTTGTCTCTCTGGGAAGTCCCTCAATTATTCTGAGGCGTGAAGAGATAATGGTTACTGCTTTGTGCCAGGATACTGAGAGGCTGGATGTGTGGTAGAATTTGGAGAATAAAAATGGTCAGAGTATTTCCACCCACAATGGCAATTATCACTGACTGGATGCAACATCCGTGCCTGGCGTCATTCTCCACACTTTGTGTGGAGTGAGGCATTTAATTCTAATGACGCTATGACATCAATCCCACCGTCAACTCCAATTGACAGATGGGGGATATTAAAGCTCCGAAAGCTTAACTCACGCCCCTGGGATTACAGGGCTGGATTTGTAACCAGCTCTGTCCAGCATGATCCTTGGGCTCTAACCACCCCCACAGAGCACAGGCAAGAGGGGCCAGGGGTCCCACAGAGTGACCCTTCAACTGGGTCCCTTTGGTCTCGAGACCCCAGAGCCACCCCAGACCGCGGACACCCCAGCTCTCCTGGGTTCTGGGGAACCTATCCTCTGTGTGTATTACCACAAAGCATCTGGCCACGCATTTTCTGTGTGTCTGGGTTCATCCTGCCAGGGCATTCAGCTGTGTCTTGTCATGTGTCTTCTTCGCCAGATGGCTGGGCTACTCATGGGCCGGCTCACTTCTGTACCCGTGATGTGGCCATGAGCCAGCGAGTGAGCGGGCATTCTGGGGCAGGGAACAACCCTCACCCATGCCTTTTGATGAGCCATCCCTTCCTGCCCTTCTGGGCCTCAGCTTCTACAGATTCTTAGAGAGCAGAAACTCACAGAGACTCCCCAAAACGCTTATTCCAGCCTCGCTGAGGGAGACATGCCAATCCTCTGGGTGCTTGTGTTAGTCCATTGACCCTTTAGGTCACGGGGTTGGTCTGGAGGTCACGAACCCAGGTGCTGGGGTCAGGCAGAGTGCTGTTCAGTTCAGACACCACCTCCCTGGAGCTGCATTGGTGGAGAGCTCTTTCTTTCTCCCCAAGGCTCAGCCTCCTCTTCAGTGAAATGAGGACAGCGAGAAGCCATTCATGTCGTTACTGTTTCTTGTTAAAGCATGAGTCCAAGGCTTGCCTTGGCCTGTACTGACCTCTCTCCCCTAAACTCGTACTGTATTCCTGAGTCCTGCAGGGGTTAGTGCCCATTCATTTGTAATGTCACATGGCGGAGTCCATGGATCTGGCATGGAAAGTGTGGTCATGGTTCAAGAAGACCTGGTTCATGTCCCCAGCGCATCCGCTCTCGACCCCACACCGGCTCTTCCCGTGGTGATTACCCCATCTCCATGCATGAAACTCAGCTTTCCCTCTGCCCAAGCCAGAAACCTGCGTGTCATCTTCGACTCCCGTCTTGCACAGCCTCGAAATGCTGTTGGCAGGTTGCCCCCACCTTCTCCGGCACCTCCGCTGCCCCTGGTCCAAGCCCCAGGGTCCCCCGCCTGCATCTTAGCCTTCTACCTGGTCTCCCTGGTTCCGTCCTTGACTCCAGTCATTCTGTCCTCCACAGAATGACCCTTTGGTGGGGTTACCTTGTTTGCAGATTGTCTTTTTTTATATTTTTAAACAAATGCTTAAATAGTGCTCACTAGGTGTCAGGCACAAGTCTGAGTACAGAGTCCAACTCCCCTGGATTCTTATAACAGCCCCAGGAGGAGAGTACCTGCCCAAGGTCTGAGGTCACCCATCTAGTCAGCGGTGGGGCTGGGCTGGTCATCTGGCTCCTGATTGGTGCTGTCAACAGTGATCCTTTTAAAACACAGCAGATTGAGGGCGCCTGGGTGGCTCAGTTGGTTAAGCGACTGCTTTCGGCTCAGGTCAAGATCCTGGAGTCCCGGGATCGAGCCCCACGTCCGGCTCCCTGCTCAGCGGGGAGCCTGCTTCTCCCTCTGACCCTCTTCCCTCTCGTGCTCTCTTTCTCTCATTCTCTCTCTCTCAAATAAATAAATAAAACCTTAAAAAAATAAAAATAAAATAAAGCACATCAGATTGTGTTCCCACTCTGCTCAGACCCTCCAGTGGCTTCCCATGTGCTCAGAATGTCCAAGTCCTCACAATTCTGCTCTAGCTACACTGACCTTAAACACTGCAAGCCCACTCCTGCCTCAGGGTCTCTGTACTTGAGGGTTTGCATGCATGTTACCTGTGTTAAGGAGTTTGGACTTTATCTGAAGGGAATGCAGAATCCACTAAGAAGCATGGAAAAAAGTCATCTCACGTGATGTGCAAGAGCCAGCTTATACTTGCTCACGAGGGCCAGTTGTTAAATTTGTAGGAAATTTGCAAGCTGAGTATTAAATCGTTGTAGCTTGAAATTCACTATAGATGAGAGCATTTACACCATGGAAGTTGGCAAGCACCCCAAATCATGGCTCTCCTCTCACCCTGCCTCCTCAGAGAGCTGCTGTTAAGCATTTACCAACACACCACTGGCATTGACAAAGATTTGTATGAAGTGCAAGTAAAGCGTTAACTTCCCAAGTCAGGGCAGGCTTCCCAGAAGAGGTGGCATTTAAACTGGGTCCTGAGTGATCCGTAGGCATTTGCCAGAGGTGAGAGGGCATCCCAGACTGAGCAAACCAACTGAGAAAAAGCACAAAGTTCTGGACATTCCCTTTGGGGCAGTAAGTACTGCAGAGTGGCCATGGAGTGTGGAGGGGAGGAGGAGGGGGAGGCAAGTTGTATGGGAAGAGAGCAGCAGAGAATGGGGTTGGAGGCAGATTGGGTGAGAATCTCAAGACCAGGTAAGGGGCTTGGACTCTCTCCTGGGGTCCTGGGGAGCCATGACAGGTGGTAGAGCAGGGCTAGGACAGGCACTGCTGAATGCTGCAGGTTAGCAAGCCTAGTCTGGCTGTCGTGTGGAGGATGAATTGGAGGCGGGAGGCCAGAAGCTCTTTGAAACCAGTTTGCTTTGCATGCTTAGAGTGAGTGAGAGTTAGGAGTAGATGATACGGATGGTGTCTGCCTGAGGGTCTTCCCCCGCAGCTCTGCGGAAACACTTTATGCATGCAGGTCCCAGAAGCCTCTTTTGGGAGGAATTAGTTCACTAGTAGTTGCAAAACATTGTGGGAAACTAGAAAATTGCAATGAACCCTCCCTGGAAGGGAGCGTGTAATGGGTTTGTCTTCCATCTGACCTTGGGACCTCCCTTCCTGGGGACCCAGGCTCCTTGCACAATCAGTTTCCTGAAGGCCCTCGGAAGGGGGTGGACATAACAGCCATTGTGGGCACTTTCTAACTGCAGCCTCCGTTTGAGGTTCTTGGTCTGTGTCATCGCCTTTGGTTCCCACAGCGTGTCATCGAGGGAGGAAAGTTGTTATCCCCAACTTACAAGTGAAACCAAGAGATGAGGTAACTGTTCTGGTCTCAAAAGCCAGAGGTTGTCCTCGGTACTGCCGTCCTACACTGCCTCTCCCTTCTCAGACGCCATGCTGGTTGTTTTTGTGATGGTCACAGCTCCTAGGATTGGTCTCCATTTTGTAGATGGAGAAACTGAGGTTTGGCGAGGGTTCACACTTACTCCAGGTCACACGGCCAGCAAGCAGCAGAGCAGGCTGGACCCTGCAGCCGGAGCCCCGCCTTCCAGGAAGGAGGGAGAAAAGATGAGAGAAAGGGAAGATGGGCACCAGAGGGCAAGGGCGCCCCAGCCTGTGGTGTTTGGGTCTGGTGTCTTCCAAAGGATGAGAATTTTTGTTTTCATAGTTTGGAAATCCCACAGGAGGACAGAAACATCACGAACAATGGCTCTGCCCTGCCCACACCCACCTCCTCTTGACCAAGACTTTGGTTCTTCCAGGAAATCTTGCCTCAGAATTGGGGGCTGCACATCAGGGCTCCCCTCTGGGTCTGGAGGACAGGTGTTTCGGGGAGTGGTGTCATCAAGAGTGAGGGAAACTGCTGTCCAAACCCCATGTCACTCCATGTTTTGAAACTCGGCCCCTAGGCCTTGGTGCCCATCCCTGATGGTTAACCGACACCAAGTGACGGAGCCTGGAACAACGCCCAGTGGTCACCAGTGGCGAAGAAGACTGCTGAGAAGAAGAGAAGCTGGCACATAATGAATCAGGCATTGTGTGGTTTACTGACCAGTGTCAACATCAACTGATGCTCATCGTGGGATGGGGTAGGGGGTGGGGGCAGCCGCAGGGAAATCTGAGAAGCATGAAACAACAACTCATATTTATTGAGCACTCATTATGAGACCAGGAATTGGGCTAAACATCTCACCGAATACTCAAGCCATATTCCGACATAGGTTTTATTACCCCTGGTTGAGAGATGGGGAAACAGAGTTTAAGTGGCTTGCCCCAGGGCTGAGCCGACATCTGAACCCAGGTCAGACTCTATGTGCCCAAACTAAGCACCTGCACCCTGACTGCTGTGGGGGAGCATGGAGAGAAGCAGAGGGACCAGTGAGGAGGTGACTACAATAATCCAGGGGAGAAAAAAATGATTGGGGCGCCTGGATGGCTCAGTTGGTTGAGCATCTGACTCTTGGTTTCAGCTTGGATCATGATCTCAGGGTTGTGGGATTGAGCCCTGTGTTGGGCTCTGCACT